TTGTTTTGGGCTGGAGGTGAGGCAGAACATCATGGCAGAAGGGCATGAGGAAAACTACTCAGCTTGTGGCATCCAGGAAGCAGTGAGAGCAAGYAAGGTGCCAGGGACGAAACATAAGCCCCAAAGGCATACCCCACCTGCCTATAATTACCACCCAATATTATCAATCCATCAAATGAATAGATCCACTGATTAGATTACAGCTATAATCTAGTCATTTCACCTCTGAAAATTCCTACATTGTCTATCACATGAGCTCACTGAGGAACACCTCATATACAAAGCATAACAGGAGGACATAATGATAAGCCGCCATCTTGGTATTGATAATGTTTTTTGCATACTGATGRTGGAGGGAAGAGAGACTCTGCCTGGCACAAAGGAAACTCAGAATGTCTGTACAATTGATTCATCCTTGAAGAAAGGTTGCCCTTTAGGCCACATGGGAGTTTCCTAACCTTTTGTATCTTTTTCATCTTGTTACAAGGCATACCCTGGGAACTTCTTAAAGTTGTCGTAAGTTTGATCAAACTGTTATCCTAGAAGCTATTGGCTTATTTTTCCCACTCATTTTGAGGATCAACCACTCATTCAGATTTTACCTGAGAATATACAGTGATATACCCTCATGGAAAYAAAGAAATATAATGGAATCAAGCCTTGTTAAATTGCTATTTCTAAATCAATCTCTCTTGGACCCATGGAACACATGGGTCAATTCCTCTCTGGCTCCCCAACATCACCAACATATCGGACACTTGGAGGCAGCCATGGCGAATGCCATGAAACCTAACAAGCCCCAGTATGGCTGGAAAGATCCCTAGGAACACACATTGGGGGTTGAATACTTCAGGGTTTCCTTCTTGCTCCTTGAATGACCCTCACCGGGTATTACAGGATAGCCTTCTCTAAACGTCTCCACAGCAGTGGGGTTGAGCAGGGGCTTATCACCTGGAAAGGATTTTAATTTCATTTTTGTTGGAGAAGCATTTCTGCCTTATCTCTAGAGTTGTATATGAAACAGCCTTTTTTTTTTTTTTCCATGAGCTGTTTCCTGACTCTGACCTCAAATTAAGGACAAAAGAGAGACTAAGCTGCCTTAAAAAACCTTTCCCTTTCTGCATCTGAGTGTGTGTATGTGTTGGTGGTGGCAGGCAGGGGGAGTTCTCTGGGAAAGAAAGGGAAATGTGAGTTTGAATCAATGCACAGATGAGTCAGAAACTAAAGAGGTCTTCTCATATCTTCACATGACAACTTGAAGAGCTGTATATTTCCCCCTGCTTTTCTTATCATATGTAGTTCRTTAAATGCCAAAATCTTTCTTTCCCAAGGATGCTCTTTTAACAAACTAATTTTAGTTAAGTACTTACTCATATTTGTTATATGCCAAAAATGTGTATGTATTATTTCATTTAATTCTCCAAATGGCTATTTGAACTGGCCCCAATTATTATTGCTATCTCCTCAGATAAGGAAAAGATGGCACAGGGAGGTTGAATGACTTGCCCGAGAGGCACAAGGGGATGGAAAAGTTAAGACACATAGCCAAGACTTCCTGACTTTAAACCTGCACACTTAGATGTTGCTCATAAACATTGTGGTAGCACCCTAAGGCACAGGATGCTCTGCAGCAGAATGTTGTGCTTTGAGAAAATTTTTTGACAAAACAGGAATATTAAAACATTGTTTTAAAAATTGTTGCTGAAAATCCTATCTGTTGTGTACTTTTTTTTTTTTTTCCTCCAGTAGGTAGAATGAAACTAAACAAGAGGCAATTGGGAATTTCCCACTACTTTGTATCTCAAATTTAACTGTGAAATATTTTAAGGATAGAATAAACAAAAGAATTTGGGGGAATATTTTCTAACAATCTGGCATATTGAAGACAATTTTCAAAAACATATATACATGTTGCTTGTGTGTCTAAGGGAGAAGAGGAAAAATAGGAGAGCAGAAGAGAGAAATTTACCATTTCAATATTTCCTCACACTAATCAAATCAAGGATTCTATAAGGGGAAGGAACTAATATTTTCTGAGCACTGACTAGGTGCCTGCCACTGTACCTGGGACTTTCTAGAACATTCTCCTCAAACTTTCCCCATTACCCTTCATGATAATTATTACCTTCARCCTTCAAGTTGAAGTTCAGAGAAGTAGTGTGCTCCAAATCACAAATCTAGAGAGTGACAAGGCCAACATGTCTGATTGCAACACAGAAGAATACTGAATAAATAGGTCCAGAGCAATCAGCCTCCCATAACTAGCACAGACCCTGTGGGTYTCCTGTTTTCTCTGGGTTGAGAGGCATCTGTCTGTGTTTCCTTATGGAGATTAAATTTCCTTCTATATGAATTTTAAAATAATCCATAATTTTGTATGTTGTCTTGAAGTAACAGTATGCTAAGAAACCAAAATAACAAGACTTAGCAAAGGTGTGGGAAAACAGAAACCCTCATATACATACTGCTGGTGGAAATTCTCAAATTGATTATGCTGATGCCCACACAATTTTACAAATAGAGAAATCATGAAAGTATACCACTTAAATGGGTTAATTGTATAGTAGGTAAATTATATCTCAATAAAGCTTTTATATATGTATATAAAAACTGTACTATGAAAAAACTAAAATTATATATTTGGTAAGTTCTTGTCAATTAATGTGCCAAGGTAATGTATAACTACTTTGAAATGATCCTAGTAAATTCAGGTGTCTTTTAGGTATCTGTAGTCGAAAAGGGTGCTCATTTGCACAGTATTACCTATAGTGTACCCAGACTTACTATCCCTGGAATTGAATGCTGATGCTACTGAAATCCCAAAGTGCCACACGGCCTCTCTATGCAGTGAATCCCTGTGTAGCCAACAGGATCAACAGATGAAAAGAATCATCTATGACTGGCTGATTGTAGAGATGCTGCTGGTGTGAACTGACCCCTCAACACCCTCACTGAACCAAACCCAGACTACAGAGAAGCTCCAGTGTGACTCAGGGCCACCAGCCAATGAAGATGTCACTAGGTTCCTGAAATCTGGAACGGTGAACAACACAAAGGTCCTGATAACGCTTATCTATTTACAGTCATATTTCCAATCAGATGAAGGAGTATGGAAAGGAAAAAAATTCAATAAATTCCAGAATAAAAATGGAAACCAATCTCCATGGTGGTGGAGACAAAGGGGAGTGGAATAAACTGATGTCAGAACTTGAGGTTGGGTTGTGAAATTAGCCTGATGTGAATGGTTACAGAACATCCTGGGGGAAAAGTATYTAAATACTGATTGTACTGAGGAAGATAAAAGGTAGAGTGATATTGGATCAAACATAAAAACAAATCAGCTCAACACACAAGCTTTCTCATGAGCAGATAAAGTCCAGAACCTGGCATTGAGTAGACCCATCCCTCCAAGGGACAGTTTCCAAGTTTTCCTCATCAGTGAACAAAACCTCCCGAGGATACTTTAGAAAGCACATATTTTATGTCTCTTGAATCCTGCAGTAACAAAAACAAAGTGAGCCTTGAATTTGGGGGAAGTYTGTCCAGAAAGCCCTGTATAAAATGGAAATGGGCACGTGGTACACAACTGGAAAATCCACATCTAAATACAGGCTCAGAGATGCCAGCTAAGCTCCCAACTTTCCAAAGATTGATTCACTGATGTTTTTTCAGAGCAAATGCATTCCAATCCTTGAATAAAACACACCACAAATATAAAAATGTATTGGGGACTTTTTATACAAAGGATAGCTAAGAGCTTTTGTGTATTTGATTACATTCTATTTCTAAAATAATTCTGTGAGGTAAGCATTCTACAGATGAGGAAGAAACTATGGCCCCAAGAAATTAAGCAACTTTCTGAAAGTCTCAATTAGTAGGTGGCAGGAGGTGATGTTGAGTCTCCTAGCTCCTTATCCATGATTTTCTCTACTACCCTTCTTTTTCCAAAGTGAGGAGACAATCAGTTTGTTGGGCCATCAGAGGGCTTCTATAATGAAAGACTGATATTTTCCTGGAGATAAAAGACCACTATATAAGTAAGTAGACCCGAGAGAGTACCAAGAGAATAGCAAGAAGGTATGTGGATTTATTGCAAGTTGGGGGATCATATGACAAGGAGGATATAGGAAATTCTAGTCAAATTAAAATACAAGTAACTACATTATATCTAGCCCCCAAAGGCCTGCAGGTTCTGCCTGATTTTATTGTCTATACTTATGAAGAATATATAAAAAGTTAAGATTTTTAGGAATTTGGGGACTGCACTTCTCTTAACATTACTCAGGGTGTATAAATTACAAAAATTAATGCCTATAATGTGCTCTTAGAGGGGCCAATATTTGCCATAGCCAACAAATAAACAAAACTGAACAGATAAATAATTATAATAACTATCAATGTTTCTTACACATTTCGTAAAGAGGAGTCCACAATAGAAGTTGTCGTTGGTTTCGCCAGTTATCTACTATGATCGTTCACAACCACAAACCTTCCTTTGGGTGGGGGGCGTTTCTGGGCAAATTTTCCAACTATTTCTTTCCTAGGAGGGGTGCCAAATCCATCTGACTAAGCTCCTGTGAGTCCTCAATGGCATGAGGCAATGGAAGCTGAAACATCCCTGCACTCGGGGGTCCCAAGGACAGCGTTCTTGAGCTCCGAGTAACTTCTCTACAGCTAATACCAGTGATGGCCACAGCATATGAAGACCTTGAGGCTGCAAACATCAGAGAAGGAAATGCTGGGTCTGTACCTATTTGAGGCATTGGCCCATCAGTTAACAAGTGGACAGAATACTAGACAGAGAGGGTGCATGTTCTGATTCCCCTCTGCCACTAACTAGTGAGGTGACCTTCACCAAGGCCGCCTCTGTCCTGGTTGCAGAGAACTAATGTGTACAATAAAGGGCTTGGAATAGATCAGCCCCAAACACTCCTTCAGTTCTAGGACATCCTGTCCACCACCTCTGCCAGGTTATGTTTCACTGATTCTCTAGCAAGTACCTGTTTCTTGGTCACGGTGCCATCCACAGGGTCCACGTATTCGAAGCTGTCTGTCTTCGCCACACTGTAGATGTGGCTCCCCACGGCAAACTGCTGGCCAATGAAGGACTTGTCTGTGACCAGGGCCTCCAGGTCCCTCATGATATAAAATGTCGCCTTGGGCTCCAGCCCTTCATAGTCAAACCTAGTGAGGGAAGGCAGGGCACAGGATGAACCAACACCCCATCAGAGAACCGGCCACTGGGTGGACCCCTCAAGCTCGTCTAATCCTGGGTTCTGATTTCAGGAAAGGAAAGCACAGAAGAGCACCCTCAATCGGTCTCCCATTTGCCTACCGACCTTTACAATCCAGTCCCCACAAAGTGGCCAGAATGGCCTTACAACAGTCAAATCATGTCACCCCTTTTCCTTAACTCACTCCTGACACACTTATTATCTTGAGAACAAAACTCAAAACCACAGCCCGAGTGGATCCAGTGTGGGATCCACACTTGCCCTACTTGACTTGTTCCACTTTTCACCCTTGTTACTCATTACAGCCACCATGGTCACCTCTCCAGTCTGCAAGGCTCCTTAGCCCTTTCCTTCCTCTGGGACTTTGCCCTTCCTGTTAGCTCCCTCCACCCCATGTGCTCTTAGACTCCTTTATACCGGGCGCATTCGACAAGCTGTTTCATCCTCTTCCTTCAGTCTTTCTTTATCTGCTTTTTGAGATACTGGGGCTTGAACCCAGGGGCACTTTACCACTGAACTACATCCCATCTTGCTAAGTTTCCCAGCCTGGCTTTGAACTTGCAATCTCTCCTCTCAGCCTCCAGAGTTGCTGGGATTACAGGAGTGTGCCATCATATCCTGCTTTCCCTTCAATCTTTAAAACTATTGTCACTTCCAGAAAATGGCCTCTCTGACCATCCCTCCCAAAGAGCTTCTCTCTCCCCTTCTTTCATCATGCCTTACATTTTCTTTTGAGACTTATACAGTCTGTATTTATCTGGTTGGTTTATTTACTGGTTGTCTGTCTTTATCCACCACAGTGAACTCTAGGAGGGCCCAGACCTTTGCTTTCCTGTTCTCTGTTACTTCTAGAATGTAGAAGATGCTATGCTAGCAGGCTGGAAGGGAAATGGGAAAAAGGAAAGGAAGGAAGGAAAGAAGCAGGAATCAACGGAGACAGGGGCAAAGTGAATCTCAGAAACATGGAATAAACGTTCCCCTCAGTTCCCTCAGTGCCCCCTCCCTTTTTTTAAAGGGAGAGAATTTTTTAATTTTTTAGTTTTCGGTGGACACAACATCTTTATTTTATGTGGTGCTGAGGATCGAACCCAGCGACTTGTGCATGCCAGGTGAGCGCACTACCGCTTGAGCCACATCCCCAGCCCCCTCAGTGCCCCTTCTACCCGCCACCATCAACAGCAACACATTTCAAGGAACAAAACCTTTAAATAGAGAATTCCTTCTGGAGTCAGCTCAAACAAGGAAAATTGAGCTATTTTCTCAGATACAACTTCAGGATTCGTATTAGTTAAACTGAAATTGTTTTATTATTTCCTCCCTGCCAAGAAAATTGTCTGGCTTAGAAATCATTTTGTTTCACAAACACCTTTCAACTTACCATTTGCTGGGGTTGAAAGAAATGTTTATCTTTCATTCTACCTATTCCCTTTATCTCTGTGATCTTTTTGGATAGAAATCTAAAACATAACTCAACATCCTAAGAAAAATTAAATCCCCCTTGCATATTATTCTCTAATATGGTATTTGTTATGAAAAAAGTGATGAGCATGTAAGCACTTGGCCACAAACATGAACTATATTATAAATACACTTATCATTAACACCATTTCTTCAAAACACTGCAGAAACCTACATAATCATTCCACAAATGATGAGGAACACATCTCTGACTTGAAGCAATCTCACTAAGCTAGAGGTTGGCAAACATAATGTATTTATCTAGTTGAACTTTTTAGAAGAGCTTCATACAATAGTTAAAATTTCATGTGCTGATTCACCCCCCAGAACCCCAAAAGAGTAAAGGGGCTGGGGCACTTGTTAGGAATACTGACAAGTAAAACAATTCCCACCTGTCTTGAGAATCCTTATTTGAGGATGCAAAGAATAATTTGAGATGATGCAGGCTGTCATATTCTTTCTTCTTGACTAAATAGGAACCCAGAATATTGTGGTGTTGTCTACATTTCTCAGAMCATTGCCATCTCTTTGACTTTAATAAATATTATCACAGTCTTCTTTATTCTCTGATATTTATCTAAGTAAATGGCTTCTTGAGAGAAGAAACAATCACCTTATAAGGCTAAAGTCTAAAGCTCTCTTTCTGTCCCTTAAGCTCTGGAAATACAACTGAACTCCAAAGTAGTTAACTATTCAAGAGTAAAACAAAATGAGTCACAATGTATGTTTTCAGTAGACAGAATCTCTAAGACTACCCCCATATTTCCTCCCTCTACCCTGTATTCTCCACAGTTCACATTCTTTCTTACCACTCCGTGGCTTGGTACTAGGTTCACACACCCAGCAAGTAACCATGCCCCCAGAACACTCTTACCCTCACTTCAACAACAACAAGGAGATAGAGATCACCTCCTCTACCTACTATCTTTTCATCTCCCTCCTTCCCAGGTAATATTTCCATTTTTTCTGTCTCTTCTTATTGAGAGCAAACTTCTAGCAAAATCTCTAACTCCTGAACCACATGGCCCCTTTGAAGGGTACCAGGTTGGACATCCTGGACATCATTTGAATCACTGATGAGGAGGTAAAGGCAAAAGTAGAAAGAAGAATATGAGAGCACCCAGACTGTAACAGCTTCTGTTCCTGCCCTGCTCCTTGATAACTACAGGTGGACAACCAATAGGAAATGCCTCTATTTGAGGGCATTCCTCTTCCAGCCACCATGGTTACCAGGGGATTGTTCATGCTCTACATCTCACATATCCTCTTAGATGGCTGCCCACCTTATAGGCCCTGATAAAAAGAGTAGAGAAGGGTGCCGTGAAGGGAAGTGAAATTTGCACCCTCCAGGTTGGTAGTCCTTGACACCACCCCAACCACTTATCAGCATGATCTAGTTCCAGCCTCAGTGTCCCTCAGATCTTCCTGAGAGATGCTACCTTCTTAAAATTCTACTTGACTGGTTTCAGAAAACTTCCCTGAGTAGTTCCCCAGGGGGCATGCAGGGACCCTCCCTTCCCCTCACCTGCAATAGTAGTGGCGGCCATATTTGGCCCAGTGATCCCGAACAATTTCTTCCACACTCTGCTTCCTGGCGGCGATGATGGAGAGCCAGACCAAGACAGCCCAGAGGCCATCTTTCTCTCGGAGGTGATCAGAGCCTAAGGGAAAAATCAAGGACTGTGTTGAGAATTCATTCCCTGGGGGGAAGCAAGAACGAATGGAGCTAACAAGACAAGTTAGAAAATGCTACACGGAAAGGGTTGCATATATTACCCACTGAGTAAAATTTATGTCCATAATATATTTGCTTTTCTAAATAACTGCTGACTGAAATTCAAACAACAAAACAGCAAAACAAAACAAAACAAAACAAACAAACAAACAAAAAACCCCATAAAATCCTGGAAAATTCTGAAGGAATCAAAGAGCCAAAATGACATATTACATTAGACAACAATATCCTTAATTCATCCATTTATTCAGTAAGTATTCAGAGATCCCTAAAATATACATTGTTTTACATCCTGAGGATATGGCAGTGAACAAGATAGTTCTTTACTTATAAAGTCTGAATTCAAATAGATAGAAACAGACAAAAGAAATCATATAAAAGAACAGATGAAACAGAACAAGTTGCATCAAATTAGGACAAGTTCTTTGAAGAAATTAAAGTAGATGCTGATATCACGGAGCATAAAAGGAACAAAGGCCCCTTTACCTAAGTTGAATGTTGGCCCCCAAAAGACACGTCCTCATGAAGCCTCTGGATATGACCATATCTGGGCAAATGGTCTTTGTGGGTATAATTACGTTGGGGATCTAAATGTGAGATCATCCTGAAATATTCCGATTGGCCCTAAACTCAATGACAAGTGATTTTATAGAAAAGAAGAGGAGACACATAAGAGGAGAAATGGAGAGACACAAGCCATACAAAGACAGAGACAGAGGTATGGAGTTAAGGAATTTGGCTGAAGAGGCACGGAAGGACCTTTCCTTAGAGCTGTCAGAGGAAGCACAGCCCTGCCAACACCTTGGGTTTGGATTTCTGGCCTCCTGAACTATGACACAATACATTTCTGTGTTTCAAGCCAGCCAGTTTGAGGATTTTTTATGGAAGCCCTAGGAGACTGATAGAACTCAAAAGGGTCAATCTCACTGAGGTGATGACATCTGAGCTGACACCTGAGAAGGAGTCAGTCATGCCAAGGTCTGGGGACAAAGGGTTCCAAGCTGAGGGAGAGCAAATGCAAAGTCCCTGAGGCAGGAATGAACTGGACGCCAAATCCTACAGCTATTTATGTAGAAAAAAGAGGCGATTCTTATCGTGTCATTCACACAAATAAAGAGTGCAGTCTAAATGAGTAGCTTCCTGTGCAACAAGAACCCAGAAGAATGTGCTGCAGGCCCACTTAAGCATCTGTCTCTGAGCCAGCTGTTTGCTTTCTGTGAAGAGGATAAAGCTCTGCATTCAAAAGAACGTGGAAAGTAAAGAATTCATGAGGAAGGCTTTGGAATTAGGATTTTGACCAATCTCTGCTTTTTCCCAGGTGTGTGAAACATGATTGCAGTTAGTAACCTCTCTGAGTCTCAGCTTCTCATCTGTAGAATGGAGACACCATGACCAATCTTGTGATTTTGTTGTATTAATTAAATCAAGTTAAAGAGTTGGACTCAGTGGTAGAGCGTTTGCCGAGCATATATGAGGCCCAGGGTTCAACTCCCAGCACTGAAAAAAAAAAAAAAAAACAGCAGGCTCTAGAGTCAGATTGTTCATGTTCAAATTCTGGCTCAGCCACTTACTTTGTTTACTACACTCATCTGAAATATGGGGACAGTAATTGTCCCTACCTCATGAAGTTACTTCCAGGATTAAGAGGCTATAGATGCCTAGGTATTTAGAGCAGTGACAAGGACAACTGCAGGCAGTTGTTACTGCTGACTTTGTTGGTAATTCACAGAAAGCATCTATATAGTGCTGCTTCCCTATACATGTTTTGGGACAAACCATTCTGTTATTTACGCGTGTGTGTGTGTGTGTGTGTGTGTGTGTGTGTGTGTATCTGATTAGCAATAACAATGTCTTAAGAAACAAGATTGGAACCAGAGGTGGACAATTTCTTCTTGGAACGGGGTAATGAGAATGGACTACAGAAATCTTGGCTTCAGGACAATGAAACATACACAGAAAATCAACAAAGGAGACCCATGCCACGGAGCTGTTAAAACTTCAAGATGGGATGAAACAGTATCTTAGTTAAGTTACATATCTTTGGTAATCTCTCACTGAAGCTATGGACCATTTGCCATTCTTGTTATGTTTCGTGTTAAAAATCCAATATTTACTTGAGGAAAACATATAACCTTGAAGGAGAAACAAAGGTACTTATATGGAAAGGAAACAAGGATCACGTCTTTAGTTCTCAATATGCACTGATCAATGGTCTGCTGATGACACTGTTAGTTGTCCGATTGTGGAGGCCTCTACGTCAGAGGGACCCTGGGCATTAATCATCACGCCATAAAGTGACTCTGGCCTCAGCCAGTGAATTCTTCACACTACTACAAAAATGGAAGATGTTTGGAAGACTCAGGCTTAGCTCTATGGCCCGCTGCCAAAAAAACAAGTCTAGGAAACCCTGCCCAGTGGGATCGTTTCAAAACCTCTTGTCCTTTTATAGTTGAAAAAAAAAAAAATCACTTTTGCTAACTGATTGGAAAAAAAAATCCTTTTGTTTTAAAACACAAGCTTTGCATACCTTGGACCTCCAGCTGGGTCACATTATCTAGATATAGAACCATTAGTTGCTATTAAGTTTGTGAGATAAGATGCCATAATTCAGGGGTACAGAGACATAGAGTTCTTTCAGATGGATTTGAAAAACACCTCAATCATTTTTGGCCAACCACATAGTAAACTATGAGTTGGCGTGGATACCCTCGCCGAAAAGTACAACATTTGCCCAGATTCATAAGGGGCTAATGATCAAGTAAAATTAACTGTGCTCTTCAGAGTTCTTTGAGGTAGCCATAAAGACATTAATGGTGCAGCAATTACACAGATGTTCCCACTGGATGACCACAGTGTGCCTTGGAGGGGCTTTTGAGGATACAAGTCTCCTTTTATTATTTCTTTAACCCAATGTTTTCAGTGCCAGGTAAGTAAGAAATGCAGAAAACACAGAGGTATTGAATGGATTTCTAAAACCCCACTATAAATAGTCAAAATGGAAGAGAGAAATATTCACACTACATATATGTATATATGATAGGACTAATAGTGTTTGTGACAAAAAAAATTGTTTTTAAAAGTTAATAAGAAAAAGAGGAACCCCAGGAGACAATGTGTGTGGGGGCACAAACAAGCAATTTTTAAGAGAAAAATATTAACAGTCAATACATGTTTGAACATATGTTCAGTCTTAACTGTGGCCAAAGTCGATAAAATGGGATACCATTTGGGGCCTATCAAATTAGCAAAGATGGGGTGGGGAAGGAGAACAGCTAGTATTGACAAAGCACCAGTGTACGTGAGCACAGTTTGTAGAATAATTTGGCAATGATGATCAGTAGTCTCATAAATTCCTTAGCTTTGGACCCAGCTATATTATTTTCTTAACTTTTAGTCATGAGGACATTCACTGAAATAGTTGAGAGGGCAAACCTGGAAAAATAAATGCTAATTGTTCAACAATAGGATAATTGTGAAAAATCCTCACAAAAGCTTATTGTGTGGGTGAAAGTATTGAGTAAGAATCTTTAGCAACAGAACAAGGTTCATCTAACTTTAATAAATGGAAAAGAAAACATTTATAAAAAATAATATCCAGCAATTTTTGGCAGAAAGATGTATGTATATAACAACTGACACCCAACCGTCAATAAAGGTTATTTATCTCTGAAGTGGTAGAATTTCAGGTGCTTATCTTCTCTTTTCTTTGCAGTATTTTCAAGACAAACATGGACCCATTATTTTTGTAAGGAATAAATACAATTTTAAACTTATCAATGGTGCATATAAATTCATATTTGAAAACATGATTCTTTCCAGAGTGTTATATAGTTGGACTTACACAGTACGTAGCCTTTTAAGACTGGCTTTTTTCACATAGTAATATGCATTTCGGCTTCCTACCTGTCTTTTCATAGATTTGAGAGCTTTTTTTGATGCCAAGTAATTTGTGAAGCATGCTTCCTCTGCCTTCCTTAATTCTGGGGAAGCCAGAGCTTGCCCCTCACTCAGGACATTGCAAGAATTGACCCCTACTCCCAAAGTGCCACTTACCCAGCCTTCCTCCATCCAGGCCAGCTGGCCCTAACCCCCCTTCACCTTACTCTGAGCATCCCTGAGCAGCCAGCAACCCCACCTGGATATCAGAAAGAAGCACTCCACTCCTTCACACCTGACTCCAGCAAAAATCAGCACAAAAAGAGGGAGTGCGTTTTTTTTTCTCCTTAGAAATAGCACTGTCCCTTCTCCATTCAAATTAGCCTTTGAGTTTCCTCAAGTTTTGAAACCATGCTCCTTGAGGGTAGGCAGTATACCAACAAGTATACTGCCCTCACAGAAGAGGGCAATAAATAAATGATAAAATATTAAAAAGGGTACTAAAAGGTAAAATTAAAGAGAACACTCCATCATTTCAAAGGAATATGCTTCCAGTGGAAATACCAGTGTGAAAAAATTAATAAAACCTCATAGGCATTTCCATCATATCAAATCATCACAGCTGAAATTCAGAGAGGGGAACTCCAAATATGTCAATTAGGAACATGTAAGTCATTTTGCACCCATAGGTAACTAGATGGCACATTAGAATCACCAAAAGAACTTTAAAAAACACCAATGTTCAATGCTCCCCCCACCTCACCTTAATACAAGGGCTTGAACCCAGGGCTTCACACATGCTAGGCAAGCATTTTGCCACTGAGCTATAGCTCTATCCTTCTGTTTCAGCCTCCCAAATAGCTGGTACTACAGGAGTGCAGCACCACTCAATGGTATTCTTTTTGTAAAAAACTCCTTGGGTGTTTCTCATGGGCAGCTAGGGCTAATAGCCACTGCTTAAGAAAGGCACTCCACATAGTGTCATGTTAGGGCTAGTGAGTTAGGCTTCTTACCCCTTTTGCTCTAATTTGGCATTATTCACATGGGTGG